TTCCCCCCCCCCCCCCCCCCCCCCCCCACTTTTTTTTATCAATCATTTGTCAAACATCTTACGTTCGAGCCCCATTTTAACAATTATATGAACTTCCAAAGGGGTTTCTAAATATAGAACTCTATAAAACTGCCTCAAAAGAATTTGCGTTGTTCATCAACAGAAAATACGACAGTTTCTATTTTTATATCTCTACAAACTTTGAGTTGTCCCTTTAAGACGAGTTGCGACATGAGATGAAATATTTCTGCTGACAGCTAAATCAGCCTGACCAATCAAATTTCTCCAACTATCATTCATCGAGATTATCAAGGCTCAACTTGTTCATTGACTACACTAGTTAAATAGTTAATTACGTCTAGACGATCACGTCTAAAATTGTTATTGCAACTGTTTTCGTCAGTGATCTGAGTTAGCATTTTCTGAGCAATTCGAAGTCATCAGAATAAAATTGTGGGATATAAAAGAGGTAAGAAACATCATGTGAGAAGTTCGCTATAGGATTTTTTCTGACAATGTTATTTAGTGTATGATATGCGGCATGGAAATTGGATAACAATAGTAAGAGAGAGCGAAGCCGACATTCCAGGCAGGCGGTGTATTGATTATTTGATACTGCATAAATTAGTCAATCCGGGTGCTAAATTTCATAGATAATCTAGTCCTTATTTTGTGTGGTAAATATTTTTTATTAAAATTAAAAAAAAGTAACTAAAATCAAACAATATATCAGAAGACTTGGAGTTCCTTTTTCAGAGTTAATTGTATTCTTTTAATGTTATTATTAGCCTAGTACCAATTTCCATTCTAAAATGATCAAATCATAGAAACATTGTCATTAAATATGTTTGGGACTCTACATCTTGATGATTTGAAACCTAAATTTATTTGAACCAAAAATTGATGTTTTTGGCATATAACTTTTCCTCAATTGTCAGCTTTTAATACAGTTGCTAAAGGTTAGCTTCTTGTATGGACTAGAAGTCTGTTCTAGTGATTCTCATACTGAAGACCTCATACATTTGTCAATCCACTTAACTTTTGAATGTTAAATTTTATTTCAGTAATATAAACCAGTAAAGATGTCTGTACCACGAGGCCGTGGATCGGAGGAATCTATTTATAGAATTCCTCCCTATTATTATATCCATGTATTGGACCAGAATTCCAATGTTACAAGGCTAACGATTGGTCCACAGACTTATATCAGACAGGACAATGAAAGGTGAGAAAATGGTTTTGAAATTTTCATTTTGTTTTAAAGATTCGATGTAGTAACTTGCTACTTGTAATTTTCATTGATAAATTGAAATTTACTGATTATTTTTTTGAGTGAATTTGAAACAATTTTGTTAATATTAGTACTGATAGTTTTAGAAAACTTTTTTTTGTTGATACGTTAAATATAAACACTCTTTCCTCTGTAAACATAGATTTCAAAATGAGAAACACAACACAAAGTCATTCTAAGAATGTTTTAAACTAATATTTCAATTGAACAATTCACTTGAAAGAACTCTGTACAATTAAAAATTTGACATGGGAAGCTTATGTCTCTTTAAGGTCCATAGGATAGGATCTTTCAACTTGTGTTTATATAACTATCCGAATAGTTATATCCACATATAATTTGATGTCATTCTTTGTAGAATTGTGTATGGACCTGAGAAAATGATAGTGGTGCCCCCACGACATTATTGTGTACTAGAAAACCCTGTAATCAGAAATAAAGATGATGAAGTGGTAACAGATTCTTCAGGACAAGTTAAACTTTATCATGCTGATCAAGAAATCCGTCTTGCTCAGGAACCCTTCCCTCTTTACCCTGGTGAAGTTTTAAAACAGGTAAATTTATTGGGAGTGTAATTTGGTAGTGGGGGTGGGGAATGGAGTGGCTCACTTGCGTTAGAAAGTAGGAAGTTGTTCATTAGTTAGTTTATGTAATGAACCATATTAAGTTCTTGCCTGCATTAGGGAACAGAGCAAATTGATGTAAGGGGCAATATTTGACGCTTTAGGCCTTCCAGATGACCACCGTTGTAAAGCTGAAAAGAAACCAGCCAGCTGAAAATACTTCTATTAACATGCATTCCTAGCTGTATTAGAATGTCTTAATAATATTTTCATGAAATGAAATCTTAACAAGATGTCTTTTCACATTCCAGCCAGTAACACCATTAAAAATAGTACCAGCCAACTCAGCCTTAAGATTAAGAGCTATTTTAGATTTTGAAGACGAATCTGGGGAAAAGAGAATTGCTGGTGATGAATGGCTTTTTGAGGGTCCAGGTTAGTAGATTTTCAAGTATCCTGCTGTTAGGATAGCTCAGCTCAATTGGTGGGGCTGGGTAATATATCAGTATCACAACAAATAGTTAGTACCTGTGATATATACACATGGGATATCAACACGGTAAGAGCCAGACCTAAAATGTCATCTTTATGGGAGATTTTTACTGTTACAAAATCCAAATTTGGCACAACATTTGGTATTTATAGAAAGTTGAAGCATTAATTCACAATCCTCAGTTTGTATTAAAGAATTTTGTCTTTTGATTTTTAGGAACATATATTCCACGAAAAGAAGTTGTAGTAGAGGAAACTATTCGAGCCACCATAATTAAACCTAATCATGCTATAAGATTACGAGCTCGTAAAGAATGTATTGACAGATCTGGTGAACAGAGAGTCACAGGAGAGGAATGGTTGGTTAGTAAAACTGGAGCGTATTTACCTGGTGCCTATGAGGAGGTTGTAGATGTTGTCAGTGCCTATGTTTTAACTGATAAGGTATGGTACTTACTTATATTACAAAAGCAGCACTATATACTTCATTGGGAGGCAGGTGCTTGCTGACTTGCGGTCCATGGTTTAATCCAAGCATAGGATGAATTTTTATATCTCATTGATGTAGACAACTAACATGACAATCGCATCTTGTCGCACAGAGGGGACAATAAACCATGACTGTATGCTACAAGCTGCTTTAGTAAAATGTCCATCTACGGTTGGAAATTGAATAAAGAATAGGCTAATGCTTCTGTCCTAGCGAATTTCCCTCATTGCACATTGCATAGCGTTGTCTTTCCTCTTTAGATCAAACAGGTGCAGAAAAGTAGGATATAAAACTATAATTCATTCTTTGTAATTTTATTTTTACAGAAAGCATTACACATGAGAGCATTACGAACATATGTGGATGATTTTAAAGTTACACGTAAAAATGGTGAAGAATGGTTAATTACTATGAATGATACAGAAACACATATACCTAATGTTTATGAAGAGGTCAGTACAACTATTTTTGAACTCAAGCTTTTTAATTTGATTTCAATTCATTTGGATACTTAACGCATGATCAATGGCGTTATATATGAATCATATAAGGGTTGGGGGGCTCACAGTCAATACATTTCCTATGTAAAATGGTAAGACATATGAGAGTGGTGCCCTTTGGCGAGGTTTGTATTGTTGAAATATAAATGAAAATGTGGTAATTTTATAAAGTCTGACAAATGAGTGAGTTGCCTTCGATTTAAAATAGTTATACCACAGCTAAGCACCTCGCATGCCTCTATACCACAAAAATTTCAAAGGGAATTGTCAATATCAGATTACAAGAGATGGTAAAGTAGGGAGTAAATCTTGAATTGTGTTTTAATACTGATGAAATATTTTATTTCTTACAGGTAGTAGGTGTAGTAAATATCACAACTTTAAATAACAGACAATACTGTGTTGTCGTAGATCCTGTTGATGACGGTGGCAAGCCTCAACTCGGAAAACGTAAACTGGTTAAAGGAGAAAAAACCTTCTTCTTGATGCCAGGGGAGAAGCTCGAAAAGGGAATTCAGAATGTATATATTTTAGGAGAGGATGAAGGCCTTATTTTACGCGCTACAGAATTTTTCAAAGAGGGCTCACAGGTGTGTATGAGTTTCATTTTAAAAAATGGCAGACATTAAACTATTTCCAGTTTTTTGGGAATTTACTTTTGCTAACTTTTAGTTTTGATGTATCTGAAATATCCACGAATTTGAAATTATAATAAATGTTCATGATCCTTACAATATAAAACTGAAAATATTTAAATGTCTGCCCTAATTGAGTTTTTTTCTAACCCTTTCTAATCTGGTGATGGTAGCTTAAAGTAAAGGGATTGTTAAGAGGTTTTCTAGCTTTTATATGTTCATCAGAACCATTTAAGGCTTCAACTTGCATCATTCCTATTTTCTGGTAGATGTCTGTGATTCTTGTAACTATAAAAATGCTTAGCTGTATATGAAATCATTATGGCAAAAGCTGCTAATAATATCTTTGTGATAGGTACATAAAAAGTTTTGAAAACCTCTTTACAATCTGCTTGAATAATATTGGCATGAACACATAGAAAAGGAAAAGGTATACACCAGTCTTATTGTAATAATATAGAAATATAGTTAGCTATAGCTAATTATTCATCTTAGACAACAAGAATCTTGAAACGAGATAAAAGGTTTGTTTTAACACATTTCACGGGCAGAGAATCTAGAGTTTTTAACTGGCAAATATAATTTTAACTATATCAACAGTCATTATATATTGACTAACATATATATATATATATATCATAGAGTGCATTTATTATGACAGATCCCTCCAGATGTATGTAAGGGTAAGAGGTGTGCATTACACATGCGCACTATATTGACAATTATACAGTACTTAAACCTTTAATTATGCATGAATTAACACCATGAGTTTATCGTTGAAATATCTCCTTTATTAATTAAAGGAGCCGCCATTGTCTAAAAGGCGTAAAAAGGATGATACAGAATCAGCTTCAACAAGTCAGGTAATTAGACGGCACGTTTTCAGCATTTTTTGATGTTATTATTGCATTTTGTTTTTGTTGTTGATTTTTGCTATATTTCGGCTATATAAAAAGATATAGGTAACTGAATGAAGAATGAAATGTTTTTTTTAGATTGAAGATATCTGACCTCAATTTTTATTATAATTGGAGGTAAATCAATGGCAAAAAAAAAAAATGACCTACTTAAGTAAAGTTGTTGGGATTTTCATCATTCTTTTTAAAATCTACCTGGTCTGTCTATACAGATCATTTCATAAATTTAGATTATTTATAATCAACTTGGCTTAATTCTTCTAAGATTATATCAAGGAAACAAAGAGTAATATTTGAATTTTTTTTAAGAATTAACAACTGAAATAGATGTTTGTTGTGTTAAACAGGTACACTCTGCTGGTTAAGCACCATAGTGAAAGAACACATATTTAGAATTCTTGATATATTTACAGGGAATTGAAAGAAAACCAGGAGATAGATGGATGATCCGCGGACCTAAAGAATACGTGCCTCCTGTAGAGGTAGAGGTCATGATGAAACGACAAGCTATACCACTGGATGAAAATGAGGGTATTTATGTTCGAGATATCAAGTCTGGAAAGGTGAGTGGAAAACTTACAGTTGGTATAGATGGACTGTAGCCTAACTTGGCTGAGATGGATATGAGGTGTATCCATGTTGGTTTCCTCATGATTCCCGCAACTCAGCTGCAAATGGGTACAGATCATGAAGGAAAGAATGAATAACATTATAGTTGCCAAAGCTGAAATCTTTTAAAATATGATTCTTTCCTTCTCTCTCTTAATTTCCAGTTTGTTTCTTAGGAGATTTCCTCTGTCTTCATTAGTCAATCTAGAGCAGAATAATAGGATGTAAAGGATGTCAGAATCTATTCTGTTTTATTTAGGTTCGATCTATAACTGGAGTGACCTACATGTTGAACCAAGATGAAGAATTATGGGAGAAAGACCTTCCTCCTGTGGTTGAAGAGCTCTTATCCCAGGGAAAAGACCCATTAGCTGATCGTGGAACACGTGGTAGTGTTGGTACAAATCAAAAAGCCAGAGACAAGACACGAGTTATCACGTTCCGTGTACCACATAATGCCTGTGTACAAATCTACGATTATAAAGATAAAAAAGCAAGGTGAATATAAATTTTTTATTAATTATAACTGGGTTGATCTGCTTGCCGTCACTTTCGCAGAGTTCAGCTGACAAAAGGGGGCATAAAGGAAGAGCAAATGATATCTTAGCTGGAAGAAATAATATACTATTATTGTCATCAAGAGTTCACTCAAAATTTATTTCTTCAGGCAATTGAAAAACTGATACTCAATTTTGCAATTTAACGCAATTTAACAAGAGCTCTTCTACTTGCTCAAAACATGTTTAAGACCAGGACACAGTATGAGACCTTGCTGACTGGTATTCTGTATTTAAAGATATATAAAAGATTTTTTTTTATAAAATTTCAGAGTTATATTTGGACCAGAATTAGTAATGTTGGGACCAGACGAACAATTCACTCAACTCAGTCTGTCTGGAGGAAAACCTAAAAAACCCAACGTCATCAAATCATTATGTTTATTACTTGGACCTGACTTCTGTACAGATATTATCACCGTTGAAACAGCTGATCATGCCAGGCTTCAACTACAACTTTCATACAACTGGTATGTATTTCATAATCTTTCTTACAAAAAAATTAGAGTTGACTGCATGTAAACTACTGTATAAAGGATGAAGGGTCCTATTCGTATGTACTACAGTCTGTGCAAACTATTTCTTTACAAATGTAAATAGGTAAAAGAAATAAGGTTGCACCTTTTCATAGACCCACTAAAATGAAGAAAAGTGTGTAGAACTTCAATTGATTTTTTTCTGATAGCACACTGTATTAAGTTGCATTGACCGAAAAAGAAGAGAAAAGTGGAATTTAAAACTCCATGTTATATGCTTGGTGATTATATTGTCCCTGTCTTATTCTATTTATCTTTGTTTCCAGGCATTTTGAAGTGTCAGATAAAACCAGCAGTGATGAAGCTGCTAAATTATTCAGTGTACCTGATTTTACTGGTGATGCTTGTAAAGCTATTGCTTCTAGAGTTCGAGGTGCTGTTGCTCAAGTTCAATTTGATGATTTTCATAAGGTAGGTTTACATATATTTGTGTGTATAGAACACAGTTTTTTAGCCTCAAAACGGCTCAAATCAGTGAGAACTGCGTTATAGACATTACTTGAAAGAGAGAAAGAAGCAACTATATTTTACAAGGATAACAACTTAAGTTCACAGTTAAGGATCCTTTATACCCGTTGGTCCTTGGCCAAACCTCTTGGCATTGATCTTTCCCAGATTATCCGTACCCATTTACAGCTGGGTTGACTGGAATTATGTGTGAAGATGACTTATTCAAGGTCACCCGATTTACACACGCCAATCGAGATGGGAACCCACAGCCACCGTTTGCTCGTAACCATGCAAATGACATCGTGAACTCACGCTCCATCTAACTGTGCCAAATTGTGTGGTCTGCCATAAGGAAGTGAAAGAAATTGAGTATTTCAATGATTTATGTAAACACAACTTTTTCTTCAATTTCAGAATTCAGCAAAGATTATTCGATCAGCTTTGTTTGGTTTTGATGAAAAAAATAAAGTTCGAGATAAGTTCACCTTCCCTCAGAATAGCCTAGCTATTACCAGTATTGATATCCAGTCTGTAGAACCAGTTGACCAACGAACACGAGATTCATTAATGAAATCTGTTCAACTTGCTATTGAAATTACAACTAACTCACAAGAGGCTGCTGCCAGGTTAGTTTAAAGCAATTAAATTATTCTATGGTGAATATGATATTCAAGGATTTGATACAAATTTTCTGCAATATATTTGTGAGCTTAAATAATTAAATTTAGTTCCCATCTACATTGTGTGTTATTTTCCAAAATGTTTACATATCTGGTAGTGTTTATATTGTACATTAAGAAGGACAAAATGAAAGCAATTTGATAATATTTGAAATCCCTTTTTGTGATTAACAGACATGAAGCAGAAAGACTAGAACAGGAGGCTAAAGGTAGACTTGAACGTCAAAAGATTATGGATGAAGCAGAAGCTGAGAAGTCTCGTAAAGAACTCTTGGAGTTACAGGCTCACAGTGCTGCTGTAGAAAGCACTGGTCAAGCCAAGGCTGAAGCTCAGTCCCGTGCCGAGGCTAACCGTATTGAAGGTGAAGCTGCTGTAGAACAAGCTAAACTTAAGGCTCAGGCTATGAAGATTGAAGCTGTAAGTCGTGTTTTGTAACATTTTTTTGTGTTAGATATGAACCCATATTATTCAATCTTTGAGTATCTTAAGTCTTTAAAGAACGAATGGCTAACTGATATCAAATTCTCAACTTTTGATTGCTGTTTCACTTGGATTTTATTTGATTATTTTATGTTACTATTACTATTTATTTGCCCCCAAAATTAACTGCACTGGTCTTATTCATGTTTTGAATCTGACAGGGACAATATTCTGTGTATCCAAGATGTGCCTTAGTACATGTTCTTTATTTTAATTTTTCAGGAATCTGAATTAGAAAGACTGACACAGGCTCGTGAAGCAGAGCTGAAATATATCAAAGAACAGAATGAATTGGAGATCAGTAAAGCTAGCGAGTCCTCCACCATTGAAACACGTAAATTTAAAGATATGGTGGATGCCATTGGAGCTGGAACTTTACAGGCTATGGCTAATGCTGGACCTGAAATGCAGGTCAAATTGTTATCTTCTCTTGGTTTGAAGACAACATTGATCACAGACGGAAGTTCTCCCGTCAATTTATTTAACACTGCCCAGGGCTTAATCGGAGGTCTGGTACCTGCTCGACGTAAACCCACTGATGATGATGATGCAGATAGTATTTAAATGATGTCATAAACTGATGAATATGAGCAAGTGATAATAATAATGATCATTTTTTGTTTGAATAAAGTTGATTTGGCATTATGATACAAATATTTTTATTCTGTGTTTACTGTAGGCCTATTGTCCTTGTTCAATTATTTTTTGTACATTGACTTTCTTAAGCATATTAAGTTCGAACATTTTTGTATAGATTTTTATAGTGATAACTGTTGTATAGTTTTCTAATTTTCACACCATCTTTCTTTTTCATTTCAACAAAAAATCGTTCCAAGATTTATGATATTTTTTAGAAATATTTTGTTCATTTGTTCATTATACTTTAAGTTATAGTGTGAAGATAGCCTGTCTTTTAGGCAAGACTGACAGAGTGTATACCATCGCTTTTGATGAAATGTCTATCATTTAATATTGGATCTATATCATTTAATATTGGATCCATATCATTTAATATTGGAGCCTATGTTCAAGGAATTGCTTTATGTTTATGCTCAATATGCTTGAATTGTGTGATTCTATATTGTGAGCTAATTCTATAATGATATAAGCATGCAATGGTATAGTTTATGTTATATGACATTGTTTACTGTTGTGGTTATTTAAAGAAGATATTAGTATATTTTGCACCCAAGATTTATATATCAGCAGACCCTGTGATCATTAGACTAATTGTTTTTGGTATATTTAAAGTCCGAAGAATGGACCACTATTTGTTATTATTTTACTTGTTTATGAACTAAACATTTTTGAAACATAAATTGTATTTTTATACCTTATCACAGGTGTCCCCAGATAACACCCTTTTCACCCCTTATCCATTTCACCTTCTGCTCAGCAAATAATTTTGTAGGAGTGTTCAAAGTCGAAATGAAAGTCCAAATTTGCTCCATATTGGGTGAATGATATTAACACCATGCAGTATGCAATGAGGATATTTTGCATGGACAGGGGAATTAGCCTTTTTATCAATCTATGTGCACACACTGTAGCAAAAGTCTTGGATTAGTGGCCCATCCCAAATCTATTTGACTTAATATGTTAACAGACAATTAACATGACCTGCATCAGGCCTTGGGCCAATTACTTATAAATGTGTTCAGTTACAATTGATAGATCATGGACAACTTGTACGATTCTCAGGATAACAATTGCTCCATGATCAGAGCAACAGTAAGTGTATTTGTATCAACTATAATCTACAGATATTGGGAAAGGTTGAGCTGTATGCAGTAAGTGTTGTCTGGTCTGGACAAGCTTGATAACTATAGTGTGCTTATTTAAAGTTTTTCTACAATAACTACTATTACTTTGGAAGGCATACTAACTCGGAATAGGCTTCCCAAAAGGCACTCGGACTGGTTTTGACATTTCATCATCTCTCTTTATATGTGTTGTCTTAAGCTTTCTCACCAATTGAGGCTTCAGGTAAAACAATGAGACTTTGAAATTAATCTTGTTTTTATGAAAAAACTATTACAATTGATAATGAATACATAAAAATGGATCATTAAAATGCAATGACAATTTGAGTTACACATGGTCCAAAATTTACACCAAAAGCTTTAGTGACAAACAACAGAACCGTACAAAATAGTATTGTTTAATTGTTGACTAAGAAATATAATTCAATCTTGAATTTGAAGTGGTCATACTGTCTTATACATACATTGTCTGATGCAGTGATTCTCAACAGGGAAGGAATTCCTCCCTATGTTAGTAATAGAAAGATCATGGGGAGGAATTATTGTCAAGGGTGGAATTGGGAAAGAATCGTTGGACTGGGGGTGGGGAGGAAATCAGAGGCAATGTGATCTAAGACTGCAATAGAAATTATTCACCCCGGACATACAGAAAATCAATAATGAACATTCGGGTCAAAGTTCGAACTATCTCAATATGAGGAGTATGAGTAGTATATTCATTCATGATTAATCTTTGGAAAACATTTCGAGTGAATTACATTTAAAAATGACTGATTTATGTTGGAGAAGAATAAAAAAAAAACTTTCAGGGAGAAATGATCTCACTGAGGTTGAGAAGCACTGGCCTAATGTAATGTACAGAAAACAGGTAAACAAATGAAAAAAACTAAATTGCCACATAACATCTTAAATTAGGTTCTAACTGGAACCTTACTTAGGTCCAATATTTGAACTACTACAAAATCTATATACATTAATTCTTATACAGCAAGTTTAACAAGCCAGTATATTTCTATTTAGTGCAGTAATATGAGGCTTGATTTGTAACAATAAAAACAAATTGCTTCTCTAAAATTGAATAAAATCAAAAAAGATGTACAAAAATTGATTAAGTCTAAAACACAATGGAGGGTTGTTAGAACCAACATCCTAAGGGATATTTGCGAACTAAATTTCAATACACAAAGGTAAGTTATGTAGCAAAATGCCTCATGCAAACAAAACTTGCATCAGGTTTTTATTTATATGTTCCCAGGAACTGACATGTCAATAGGATGACGTTACTAGAGGTGAATAAGACAATATTAATAGTGGTATGAACAAAAATGACTGATACAAAAAATACTGGTCTATTCTAGAGTGAACATTATATGCATAGTAATAGAAAACATAAACATATCAAAAACAATTCTATATAATGACAAATAATATTGTGAAGTATTTATAACAGTGTACCACCTTTTTAACAATTGCAAACCAGGGTGTTGTCATTCAAAATGTGGTAATACAAAACAAGTAGATTCTCTCTAAATGTAATGTTAACAAATTCATTTCTATACATTAATATATGTATTTCTTGAATGGCATTAAATAATGGTGGTTTCATTAGATAACACAATTACAGATATTATTTAAGCAACTTTTCAACTAAGATTTTTTTGTCTTTATCCATCAATTATGGTGAATTTGAGCTGAAATGCCGCTTTAATAAAATCAGTAATTGTATATCATAAAAATTGTATTATCTATGATAATGAATTTGAATGTAAAATGATTTGCTGCAAAAATATGAGTAGTATAGTCAGGCAAGATATTTCTGAATCAAATCAAAAACAAGAGCAGTCCATTTTGTATTCAGGTAGAATACACAATAATCACATCTATACAAGCCAGTCTTTTAAAGTATTAATTGCTACTTGAACTACCTGAAAACAAAGTAGTCAGTCTACTTGTGTTGATGTTTTCAATCATGATTCATACCCAATGTGCAAATATATACTTGCTTGCCTATACACATTGACTGCTAATCTAAATGATAATACAATTTTTAATTTGATAATTAACTCCATAAGATTGAAAAATGAATAATAATAAATATGTACATTGTACCGTTAAAATTCAACTGGCTTGAAAACACACCATTTCATGGTTAAGAAACATGTAATTGTAAAATTTCATCTAAAATGACAAATGCTGCACTAAGTTTGGGCAATAGTTAATTTAACAAACTTTCTGTTACTTAATACATCCAGACTGATTCAAAACATACACACCAACTTGCAAAATGCTGATGTTTTACTGAAAACTGTTAAAATAGCACACAAACTGATTTCAATATAATATCACCCAACCCTAGTCATAGACAGTGTCATCAGGTCATTCCATAACAACAGCAGCCGTAGTATCCCCATCTCCCTTTTCCTCTCCCTCACCCTCATCTAGATAGAAATAGGTCTCCAGTAAATTGTTGGCTTGTTTTCGTGTGAATTCATCAGCATGGTATTCCAGTCCCTCTAATCTAGCCACACCTTCTTTAGCTTCAAACTTCTCTTTTGCCTGAAATATCATAAAAACAGGTAATATAACAAATGTAATGAGCTCTAGATTGTTGATATCTTTAATATCCAGTCAGGTTTAATTATATCAAAAGTTATGCTAAAAGGCAGTGCCCTAAAAGCAGACTGAGAGGAACAATATGACAGCCTCTTTGGGTTTTGCTTTCCCAGAATATGTCATTGATACCAAGGAACGGGTCCTACATAGACTGTTTGATTGGTTAAAAATAAAATCATTAGGACAGGAATTTGGTTAAAATATGGTTAGATTACAATGGAGACAAACAAAAATAATAAAAAAGAAGAAATTGGCATCAGATTGAATTAATAAAGGCATGTAGACCATAATGACATAATATCATAACCATTAAACAAGTCTTTAATATCATTAATATTGCAATAATACCCAGTATCCTAAATCATAATATACATGATGAATCAATTACCTCATCAGATAGTCTGAGCATCATTTCACAGAAACTGAGAACTAGATTGAGTAATTCAACATCATGTGACTTTAACATGCCTGGTATTGTATCCATTACACCTTTAGTTAATAATAGGTCACATTCCTTTTTACCATGGCAACCCAGATTACACAGTAAATATAGAGCCTAAAATAAAACAATGTTATATGAGATAAAATATAGATTTAATATAAGACAAAATTGATAATAAGAACCAGGTATTCACTAGTAAATTTAAAAGTTTTTATCTTTTTATGTCTATTTTGCGGTTTTCACAAAAATAGTAAATGAAAATATCATTTAGCCAAATGAGATAAAATTTTGACCATGAATCTGTAAGATTTAGCAGTAATCTGTCTGAAAATATTTACCTCTATTTTAGTGTCGTAAGCAGAATGGAGTTTATTTAAGATAGATTCTAGAAGGGGTCCATTGATAACTTTATCACACACTATATTTTCACCTGGAATGGAATAAGTAAACAATTGTCTTATGTAATATTGTGGTCTTAAGATATGAACTCTATATTAAGAGTTATCTCCCTTGAAAGATAGCTGGAGAGCCTGAATAAAGATAATGGCCACAATTTCAGTGAGTGTGCTTATCCAAGCCATCCTAGCTAACTACATTTCAGTCAAATTTATACCCATCTCATTCTTGGCCCAATATTTAACCCAAGAATCCAAATAATTATTTGCAATTTGATTATAAAAAAATATGTCAAAATTTTTTAATGCTACATTCTTTGCTATGCTAAAACAAAATGATACACCATTCATACTCTCAAATCATTTTCAATTCACCTTGTAAATCAAGACTATAAAGAAATATTTACCAGTCATATTAGAAAGAACCCATAATGTTTCTTTAGGTATGTGATGATGTTCTGAATTTAAACATTCAACAAGAGCTGGTACGATAGTAGGATTTTCAAATGCTTGGATACTGAATTCATCAGGTCCACTACAAATATTTCCTATACATCTTAACACTGGGGTTAATACCTAGAAATAGTAACCAATAATAACTTTAAAATGACACCTTAAAAACCTTAACACCAAGAACAGTAAAATTTTAAACTTAAGGCTAATACACTACCTATACACTTTATCAAGAGGTCAATATCTAGAATATATAACTCCCAATGAGTCACACAAAGAACATATTAATGGTCCATTTGATGCAGGCAATTTAGGGATGGGCTGAACTTCATGTGGACTTCTGGGAACCTTCTTTATCATATCATGATTAAAACTATCAATAAATTCTATCTTACCGTAACATCTTGATTTTTATACTGTTCGGTTAAAACTCTGACTAAATTCTTCAATACTCCATTAGATACTAACTGATTTGTGTTTTCACCACTACAAGAAAACAATACATAACCAGTTACATAATTATCATATCAGCAGTTTGATTCAGCAAAGACTCAGTTTAGTTAAGAGAAGGGGTAACCTTAATGACCTTTAAGAGCACTCACCATCTTATTAGAATTATAGAGTTACTTAGTCACCATGACCATGAATAAATGTATCATAAATGAATCTTACCTGGTAGATGTAAGATAAACGAAAACCCACGCTATCTCGGAGATTAATTTAGGTGAAACATCAGTGTCCTGTGTCCTAGATACTAAATGGGGAATAACTCCAGCATCTACTATCTCCCTGTTAAAATAAAATCAAGGTATTATTAACTCTATGAGCACTGAAGATAAATATTAGAAACTCTTAACCCATAGCTGTGTTAATAGTTGCAAGACAGACCCTTAAATTAGTAGCACTTCAAAATGTTTTTTCAACAGCATTATATCATTTTCAAATTTTACCTAAACAATGCCATACTGTGTGCAATTCAGGAAATTTATCTCAAACAACTAATGCTTATTCCATGACGGCCCCCTTCAATCTGCATCACTGACTGACCATAGCCAGGTTGAATACTGAATCTTCAGGATCTACCTTACTAATTCACCGCTACTCTCATTTAGACTTGAGAAGTAATATTCAACTCAGAGAGCTCATTGAACAGGTGATTGAAGAATTAATAAAGAAATAATTAAAGCATACTAACTGTGTAATGTCAGGACATTCTCTGGCTAGGTTAGAAAGAGCAAAACATGCTGATTGTACTACATTAGGTACTGATGTCTGAAAAAAACATATAATTGAAAAATCTATTAATCTGAATAATGACATATTTCTAGTTTAAGCATCTATCTTTCAGTCAAGATCCCTTATAGATAAATTTGAGAACCATATTGAAATGTTGAGTTATAGATATTCTAGAGGTATCTATCCATAATAATTGTTCTATTCATCTTATCTTATATCTATGTATATCTTAATCTATGCTCTCTCTACTCCATACATAAAGGCATGATTTAGCAATATACAATTGCATCAAGGAGTTGACATTTTACAGGTTCATGAGTGATCAAAACATGGATCAATTTTCATTGGGTGTCCGAGTTGTACCAATCAAAAGTAAATATTGACAAAAGGAGATAACATCTTAAAAATGATGATCATGAAATACTGACCTCTAGAAGTTTGACCAATGGAATAACACAGCCTTGTGAACTGAGCAATTTTCTACAATCAGCACTGTCTCCTGCTAGATTACCTATAGCCCATGCACATTGATCCTAAACATAAAACATATCTCAATACACAAATAAAATAAACTCAAATATTAACTCTTTAACTGAGCTTATATACACCCAACAAACAGGACAGAATGCAGTAGACAAGAACAACCAGTACTCGATATAATATACAGGATATAAATTATGGTATTATTGTTCGACTATATATAGACCCACCAGATGTATAGAGTAAGCAGGCACCACTTCTGCCTATGAGTACATCAGGGTTACAACTGAGTTTGGGCTACACAAAGAGCATGTTAATCTGACTTACCAGAATACAGTAGACAACATTAACCAGTACTTACCTGAAGATCAGTGCTGCTACTACTAAGATAAGTTATAAGATATGGTGCTGCTGATTTGACTACTGATAGAGCCTGTTCATTTGACCCCCCAGCAGCGATATTGGTTATACACCAGACACTTTCTAACTGTAATTCTGTATCATTCCCAGTTAATACTCCAACTAAACTGGTTAATGCATTTTCCTGTCTGAAATACAAACAAATTTTAAAAGTTTAAGTTTTCTTTCAAATGAAACTTGGAGTTTTGATGGTCCTAGGAAAAAGCAGCCAGTCATTCTACAGGCTCTACACATTACAGAATGAGATCCCTTCATAGTTGAAAATCGAAATTGAGTTGTCCTGACTTTTTCTTTCATTCCTTTCATTTCAAATGTCTACATCATTCAATATAAGTCAAGTTGAAAAATATCAAATCTTACCCAAAGAAGATATCAATGAAAGATGAGCCTTGAACAAATGCTCTGCGTAAATTCTGAAGAGCTGCAAGTTTTTCTGGTTCCTTGTTGATTAAAGCATTGGTTGAATTCAAGACCTGAATATAAAGAAATAGAATGAGGTTACTAACGCTTCCAAAAATTTTCTTTTTGGGCTCGATAGAGGTTAAAAGTCGACACTGGGTTGCCTTCTGACAAGCACTGGCTGCACTACAACAAAGGGTCCAGTTAAAACCGTGAAATATCTTCAAACGGTAACAGATTAGCCAAATCGACAGTGCTCCAACCATGCGTTACCCAGGAGAATTGACATTAACACAGTTGGTTGGAAAGTTGTTTATTAAGGAGTGTTAGAGTATAGATATCATACAAGATTTAGATTTTCAGCATACATTACCTGTTCATCAGTGACCTCATCTCTCTGTTCTTCTCCAGTTTCTCCATCAAGTGAGTCCTCTTCACATTCACTGTGACGGAATCTCTTTGATGTCACCAATTTCTCTCTTCGTACTTTTCTCTCATCTACATAATAAATAAAATGATATAGCTCATAAATTGATGCTGTCAAAATGTCCGGCAAACCATCCTTATCAAGACAGGAAATTTTGGTATACTAGGCCTTAACAAGATCAAACTTTATGCACTATAAAAGGGAACTCAATGCTCGTGGATTTTGACACATTTATTTTATGTTGTTTAAAATGTCAATATATTAAATGCAACTAGAAAACACTATGTTATGCACAAAATTATGGTTGTAAGTCGACACAGATTAACATATATTCATGAATTACATTTGTTTACTTAAATATATTTTGATTAATCAGTGTTACGATTAACCAGCCCATTTATATAGTATGGTATACTTGTAGACAGTACTGGAAGTTCAAGTCTACCCACGCGCACTTTGTTTACTAACCAAGAAGTCGTATTTTATATTTCAATTTGTCAAATTTCTGCGATGCAAAAAATGTGATGCATGGTGTAATAATGTGCCCGAGTGCAAAAACAACCCCGAAACGTACCTATAGTTTCTTGACGCCTTTTGTTTCTCTGTTCTTCAATAGAATCGGTTTTATGTTTGTAAAGCGATTTTCTCTCCATTTTGTTTTGAAGACGGAAAGTGTTGAATTCTCTCCCTTTAAATCTATGGAAGGGCTCTCATGCCAAAACCGATAAAAGCACAAATTTCAATCAATGAAATCTTCTTTACGATTCATGAAGTTATCTACATTTTGGACATAACTTATAGGTTTTAGGTTTTTATTGCATTTAAAAGGTTTGACATGCCTTTCGTAGTTCATTTTGCATTTAAATACGTTTTGATTTTTGACAAGACTGGCCTTCTATATAATATGCATATTACCTCGTTCGTCATACACCGTACATTTTTGATTATCCAGTAATTCCATACAAAAAGGATTAACAATGATTTTCTTCGGTCTGGTTAACTTTGACTAAGCTTTCAGGTTGTTTTGAGAATATGGTAATTTTGCGGGAAATTTAATCAAAATCTGAGAAAATGGTAATTATACCCCAAACCTTTTCCATGAAATGATTCAGTTGAAGGCCAACGTTAAGACATGTTACATTCACAATCACAACTGCCAGGAAGGCCTCAAGTGATCGAAATAGCTAAAACACAGTCATGTCATTTCATGCTGGACATTGTATTGTGATAGTAGCCTGTAGCCAGTGTAGGAGTAAAACTCTCTCTATTTTATTTCATTTTTACAAGTCTATTATGATCATGGTGAAACATTGATGCATTTATTATAAGTTGATAGAGGAAGCATTGGCATGGGATCATAATATAATCCTTTAATTTAATTGATTGAAAATAATTATATGTATGTACCAATGTTTATATCTAATTAATGCAATGTCATTTTAACTCTTAAGACATTCAGATCTATTGTTAAGCTGATATACCAATTCAAATTAATAGAAGTAATCGGTGAAATTCAAGTGAAATTCAAAAGATAGACTCAGTGCGTGAAAAGTGAACATGAAAAGCATAATTATTTCATGTTATGATTTATGATACTTAATTTGATTTTTCTTCTAGTCTCGAAAGAAAGGTTTGAGTGTTGAAGAAAAAAGAACAAAAATGATGGAATTTTTCTATGAAAAGGTGGGCAACATATTTTTATGTTGTTTTACATAAACATTTACAAGGATATTTCAACTCTTCCAACCCATCATTAAAACCTCGACTGCCCTGGAATGTAGACATTATGATGTTACATCATATGAATATCCCTTATGCGAAATATACTGGCCGCAGTGCAACACAGTAGAAAAATGTAATATTTAGAATGTGTTGAACTGTTGAAGAAACAATGCTGAGTATTTTGTCATATTATAAGTTTTATTGCAGAAAGAATTTTACCAGTTAAAAGAGTTAGAGAAACTATGTCAGAAAGAGAAAGGAATAACATCCATGTCTGTCAAGGAAATATTAATGAGTTTAGTCTATGATGGAATGGTGGACACAGAAAAAATAGGAACTTCAGTTTATTTCTGGGCTTTTCCTAGTAAAGCTAGTCAAAACGTAAGTTTATGACTGATTTTTATGTAAATTTTCCATTGCAACATTTAAGGGAAAACAATTTGAAAATAGTAGCCTATAAAAAACAAATATTTTTTATATTTGGAAATTGAAATTGGGATTGAATACATTTTTTTCTTTTGCTGTATGAATAGTATAAATGTCTTAAAAGCCTTGCTTACTGAATTCATTTACTAATTTATTTTGCTCAGACACACTTCGGTCAAATTAGGAATAGTTAATTTAAATATTTCCCTCAAAATGGGCTCTATTGAACAAGGTATTGAGAAAATAGCATGTACCGTACTGAAAATTTAATGTTTTGTATATTTGACCTAGAGAAGAACAAAGATAGAAGAGTTGGAAAAACAAGTAAAAGATTTAGATACAAAGGAAAAGAATTTAACAGAAATGGTGGTCAAAGTGAAATGTGGTAAAGAGGATACGGTAAGTTATTAGTATTGATAACTACTAAAATATTAAAGTTTTGATATGTGACTTTATAATTATAATTTCAAAGACAGTAGCTTCCTGCATTCTTTCATTATCGTACAGATTGAGAGTTCGAATTTCAATGAGATAAATGTAACCCAGCTTAAAACCACAAACTCACAAAATAATTGACAGATTAATTGAATTTGTTGAGCTAAAAGTAGCAAAGCAGAAAGATTGTGTGAAAATTTTTTATAGTAAAGTAAGTAAAGTATGAAATAAAATGAAATAAATTTAAAAAATTATGATTTCAGACAGAAAGACAGGAAATTTTTGCTGAATTGGTGAAGAAAGAGGAGCAAAAGAAGAATTTATTGACAATGTTAGAAAAATATAGAGAATGTGACCCAGAAGTCATTGAACAAATTAAACAGGAAACAGTCGTTGCTAAGGATGCAGCCAATAGGTGGACAGGTAAGCAGCCATTTGTACAGAATCGATGTAAATTTGAACATATTTTATATGTTTTTTTTGCTGAGTGGTAATTGTAGACCAAGGAAAATTAATAAATGAGAATACATCAAGGGAGATTACTCAAATTGTGGATGTCCAGGTTATAAACCAAACTGTTTAAAAAGTGAAAACAGACCCAAGTAATTTTAGAACCATAGACATTTGACAGAAAAATTAAATGATGCAAACAGAAGCCATTAATACCTTTAACACACACATCAAAAGTTAAAAAAAACCCAACTTTTTAATCCCTTAGCTTAGACTAATAAGTTCCACTTATTTCTTGAATTACATTTCAGATAATATATTTTCAACCAAGTCATGGATTAAGAACAAGTTTAGTTTTGATGACAGTGTTATAGATAAACAATTTGGTTTACCATCAGAATTTGATTATGTAGAGTGATTGTGACAAAAAATATCATTTGTTTGTTGAGTTTGATCAAAGTTTATATCAACTGTTTATATAGTTGTTTTGAAAGTTCACAGAAATTATGAAACAGTTTTTGTGTTATGCTTCTGGTTTTGGTACCCTCAAGTAATGGTACAGAATCAAATGAATAATTGGAGGTTTAAATATCATCAGATTAAGTGCTATGTAATTTGTAGAAACCTTGTGTTAAATAAAATTCATTATCAACTTATGAAAGTGAAAACTCATTGAAACTTCTACCCATGTGTGTTACTGAGTTGTAAATTTAAGTTTTAATATGCGCTAAATAAACCAATAACATTAGTATTTTGATGTATCAAAATTAAAAAAGAAGATTTAAACCCCCAAGGGAATGGAAATGCATATACAGAAAAAAAAATCTTAAAAAAAAAAAACAAAACCAAATTGCACATGTAACATTTTCTTAGTTTATACACTATTTATATACACTGGAGACTGGAGCAAATGATGATATGATAATGAATATGGAAAAACATATCTGATTTCAGTCTCAAGTCCAATGGTTGCAATCATTGTTAATCATTCAATAATAAATAATAAAGTTCTATACTGTTGGATGGAAACAAAGTCGTATTATATTCCCTGTTTATCACACAATAATATCCATTGCATCACAAACCTGTAACAAATAAAAGTTGAACCATGAGTTTAGGCCCTATGTTCTGACCTGAATGGAAAGGACTGAGAGATAATTGTTAATACAACAACTGTCATCTTAAAAAGGGCAGTATGCACAATTTTCATTATTAGAAAAGACTGCAAATGTTTTGACATTCTAAAAATGAACTGCAAGATATTTCTGGTAAAAACTTTCAGATTAAAGTCTATAAGGACAAAAATGTGGATAACAGAAATCATGATGAAGCCTACCTGACAAGACATGAGTAAATGTTGTGTACCGAAGTCAGCTATGATACTAAATGTAGGATCTGTAGTACATGCTAGACTATGTTGATAAATAGAGGCTTCAAGTTGATTTTTAACATTACTTAAACTAATACAATCTTGCTGCAATATAATAGTTACATAAGATAAATAAAAAAAATTGTAAATAAACAGTATACTTAGTAGAAGACTATTTACACATATTCAAGACCCAAATCAACCCGCGAAAATGGCGAATCTGTCCCATTAAACTGTAAAACTTGAGACTAAGCCTCCCGTTTTGATGATCAACAAAGGGCCTGGAAAACAGTCACTTTTTGGATCGAGTTACGAGGGGTCAGTTGTAATTGAAGTATGTGATGTAAGCACTTTTTTTTATTTAACTGAATTTTCTCTATAGAGAGTCTTACTTTTAAAATGTTGTTTATTTTTTAACCCTGGACAAAAAATTTATAATCTAAGCTATAGACTAAAATGGCTGTTAGAGGAAAGACATCTTACCTCAGTATCTATTCTAACTCCACATGAACAGAATATAATATTTTTATTTAATAACAATGTTGATCTGAAATATAAGAAAAGATACTGATATGATCACTTAAAATAACCAAACCAAACCAAACATCAACAGCTTCTGTCAAAACTCTCAAGGGGCAGTTGACATGATTGACATCTGAAAAGAAAATACTGCCGTACATTTTGTAAATTGTTTCTTTTCCTGATGAATTAAAAACTTTTTGAAAATCTTGGGTATCTGTGTATGGTATTTGATGTGAAGTTTTATTACTGATAAGAAATTAGTTGCAGAAAGTTTGAAACATAACAAAAAAATTTGTTGTTGCCATTTGGGAGTCTGATGGGAGTCAGGTATAAAGTTAAACAAGTAAAAATACTTACTTTTGACAAATAGGACATATTACTTCATCAGTTGATAATTTTTCTATAGCAGAACATAAAACATTTTCTTCTAATTTCAAACTGTGTTCATATCTATCATGCTCTTCTAATAGTCTCAACTCTTTAAAAAAACAAAGAAATTAGATAAAACATTATGTTATTGGTAACCAATGTAAGCAGTCAAAATCATATAATGAATAACAACCTGGCTGAAAAATTTGAAATTATGAAATTTATTACTAAATTCCAAATTTGAAAAGTAATGAGAAACTTTTACCTTCATGTTTAAGTTCTTCTTGTATATCTTCAAATAAATTTAACATCAAATCCACTCCATTAAAACCAGTATCTTCAAACTGAAAACACAAAATGTGTGATTCAAAATAAAGTTATCCAGCTGTATTCTATAATACAATAGACCCCAATAAAAACTACCAAATAACAAAATAAAACTTTTAAGTAATCTAATCATCACTAGCACAATAAACCAAAGAAAGGTATGTCAACTAGCCTTGTGCTGTTAAAATAAATGAATTAGATAATTAGGCATACGAATGGGGATAAAATACCATCATTTATTTCCCATATGCAATATACCACCAGATCATAAAATTATTCAGCTACATTTGTTACCGGAGCCATCTAGCATACCTCTATATCTAAATCTTTAGCTTGTTCACGTTTTAATGTTTTTAGTTCATCTGTCATAATATCTTTAATAAAGTCATCTTTTTCACTGGTTATATCAATCTTTCTGAATCTTGTCATTAATTTCTCTCTACTTCCTCTTAGTCTGTCTAAACATCTCTAAAAATATATTACATCAACAATTATATAGCTATTGTACTCCTTTTGAAAGGGTTGATGATTGCAAAAAAACAGGCCTGCTGCGACATCATAGTTATGTCTCTATCATGAATGACATGATATCCTAGTTGTCTTGACTTCACAATTCAACATTTCTCAGAATACATTTTGTCATGAGTTATCATGTGATATGCCATGCTTAGATTTGTAATGTAATAATAAATATAGCAAAAATATATATAAACTATAGTATTGGACTCTCGGAAATGAATGCCTGGTTCACAAATCAAGCTTCAGAATGGTACCATAGTCTACATTTTTAAGACTCACACCACTTCCATATTTCTAAACACTTTTCTGAAAACATTTTGTCATGAGTTTGCAATTGATATGCCACAATCATATTTCATATCAACTTGCTAAGCAATTGTTGACTCAAGTAACTCAAGAAGCGTTCTAATTGCAGACTATGATATCTTCTTATGAATTATTATACCAACCTTTCTGTAGGTCTCTTTCCAGGGTGGAGTTCTTGCTTTATACATATCTTGACGTCTGGTTTTCATTGTAGCTTCAGCCATCTCTTAATATTAGTATCAGTAAATGAGATTTTAAAAAGTGAAACTGAAGATGTAAATTGCAAAATTGTGAGGACAGTCAATCAACAATACAAGACAAGCAAAGGCAAAGCCGAAGTCAAATGTAATTTAGTAGCTGGAGCTCAGTACAAACAAAATTGAAAATAAAATTTGCAGGTGCTCGATTTCACGTTTACAGGCTGGGAGGCTTGACAGAAACTAAAAAGTACTTCCGTACAAGAAAGTTTTCCTCTCAGTGGCAGAGTGTTGTTGTTTACCTTGAAAATCTTTAGCGCGTTATGACGTTTTATACGGTAATGCCAGATTGTTTTCAATGTGTGTAATCTGGCAAGAATGTGCAATACACAGAGTTTGATGACGTTGATCACAAGAGGCCAATGTCATTGGCACAAAAAAAGTAAAAAAAAACTTGTCAATTTTAAAACAAATTCCATAAACGTTTAGGTTAAGCCATTGAGCCATTTGGAACAGGCCTCCTATTGAAAGAGAATTTCCAAGAGAGAGAGAGCTTAAATGTACTGTTTCATAATATGCGCATAATAGCCGCACAACAACCCTGTCCTTGTTAATGTTGGAAAGGGGGGGGGGGGGGGGGGGGGGGGGTTGCCTGTGGGTCATTTAATAGTAAAAACGTCCCCTAACATTGGTGCTATTTTTCATCTAGCATCTCCAGAAACTGAGCTCTGGTTACTTAATGACAGTGGCTCTATTCAAGTGCCATATTTATAATCACTATTGTAACTTTTATTCTAGATTTTATTGTGGATGGTTACTAGTAGTACAACAACATCAAACTGGTTTTATGTTTTTGTAATAGTAAATGTAGTATTAATACCATATGTAGGCTATTGTATTTACTATTATATACAACCAGAGTTATCAGACTCCAAAATGGCAGCTAAAGCACCACCAACGAATAAAGCTAAAGGAATGTCGGCCTCTAATAAAACTGTAGGGTAAGGTTAACTTAAATGAAATTAGCAGCACTATAGCTATTTTGAACTTTGGCCATTGAAATAACAAAAAAAGAGTTCTGTTGTTTGGTAATCATGCTTTAGTTTTTAGTCAAACGTAACCATGTCAGATTTTATGACCTGCAATATTTGATTGTTTAGCCCATGTTGAGGTTAGGGTGTTAAAATTACTAGCTTCTTTACAACATTAGGCAATAACACAGGGTTTAAGTGATGCAGTTGTTTGGTTGAGCTTTAGTAGTTAATGAAATAATCCAACATTAATTATGCTGTTATATTTAAGGTTATATTTATTGACATGGAATGTAGCTGAAGGTCCTCCTGTAGATTTATCTGAAGCTTTAGAGCTTCATAAACCAAAACTTCCAGAAGTATACGCTATAGGGTAGGTATCATTTTCTCAGAAAATTATTGCAGCATTTGTGATAGTGACATAATGTAAAGATTAGTGAAATTGCCAAAACCACAACTGTCTGATTTAAAATTAAAATGGTGCAAATCAATGCTATCAGTGTTCCCGATACACATATTAAGTTTTCAACAAAAAATATTTAATCTCTTCATCTCCCTCAAACTATCTTCTGTCTTTTTTACTAAATGGGGGATACCATTTCTGTATGGCCTCTTAATACTGTTTGCCAATACCAATATATATTTTTCTGTTGTATTTTTATTATTGGTTGATGTGTTCACAAACATTTTATTTCCAGTTTACAGGAAGTCTATACTAGTAATTCTGAGACTAAATCTGGAAGTTGGTCGGAAGCCATTACTAAATTATTAGCTCCAAAAGGTTATGTGAGGGTAAGAATTTCTTAATGTTTTAAACTGGAGCTACAGTTTCTCAATTGGTTAGGTTTCAGAATTTTAAAGTTGGTTTTTCTATGTTAGCAATTCACTTTGGACATTCCAACCATTAATGAGTAACATCAAAAGATCCTGTGTTCTACAAGCACATAAATGAAACTGCTGCCCTGACAAAATTTCCATCATTTCGTCCTTGAATGTTTTCAAATGTGAAATGTTGATGTGATCTTTTTCAGTGTAAAGAAAGATCTATGCTAGGTATATGGATAATAGTGTTTATCAGAAAACAGATGTTACCCTATGTTACAAATATAGAATCAGAAAGAACTAAAACAGGCTTCGGGGGATATTGGGTAAGTGCTTCTGAAATCCAATAGAATGCTTTCTATTATAGATAAAATGCATTTGTGAAAACTGATTTTTCTAGAATTTACATTTTCAAGCATTTCAAGAAAGAATATCCAATCCTTTTTTCTATTATTAATGCTATGAAATTCACAAATTTTGATTGTTTTTAAGTTAGCAAAATCATACATATGAATAAAGTACCTCATTGTTAATAGACACATATTTTTACAGGGAAATAAAGGTGGAGTGAGTGTAAGAATGGATATTTATGGTGTTAATGTTATCATAGTTAATAGTCATTTGGCTGCTCATATGGAAAATGTTCAAGAAAGAATAGAGGTTTGTCAAGCCGATTAAAGGCATATTCTAGTAAAAAAAATTGTGTTGGGATGTTTTCTCATGATGTTTTGTAGCATTATAACCTCTTTGATGATGATAAAAAGATTACCAGGAGAAAATATATGTTTAAGTTTACCAATCTAGATCAAAATTCATATTATAAAATTTCATGTTATCTTATTTAGGACTATGACAGTATTTTAGATGATCAGAAATTTAAAGATGAAGATGTAGACCATATCATGGATCATGAGTGAGTACTGGGGTATTTTGTTTATAAAATTCTTGGTGAGTAGGGCTGGGCAATACACTGGTATCACAATATTGTATAGAAATCTAAATCTAGGTTGTTTATGTGGGACATTAATGTTTTCGTAGTTAATTTTGTTTATTGATAAATGAAGTGATATAAAATCTGGATTTGAATCAAGAGTATATGTTGTATATAAATTGACTATTGTTTTATTTTAGTTATGTATTCTGGATGGGTGATCTCAATTTCCGTGTAAATGGTATAACAGCTAGTGATGCTATAAAGTGTATTAAAAAAGATGATTACAATCATTTATTAGAACATGACCAGGTAGAGACTTTTTACTTTACTATTAACATGAAGTTGACGCCCATTGTCTTCATTGTGTTCTTTTTCTTCTATTGGCTTTACAGTCTAATTTTAAATGAAAAATGTGATGCCTGTTGTAAATGAATTCAAAATAGATGTTATTTACTCCTTTACCATTGATATAAATCATGATAAATATTATAGAGTTTTGAATGTTATTATTTGTAGCTACTACTGTCTATGAAATCAGGGCTAGTATTTGATGAGTTTAATGAAGGCGATATAACATTTCCACCAACTTATAAATTTGATAAAAATACCGACCATTATGATACCAGGTAAGTTTTTTTTTTGGCTCGGCTGATTAACCTGTGTCAGTCTTGACACAGTGACCATCATGTCCAAAGGGATCCTTGTCATTAACAAAAATTGTTGATTTATTTCAGTGAAAAACAAAGAGTACCAGCATGGACAGATCGGATACTGTGGTACCATCATAAAGTGGGTTATGGTAATCTACGATTAAATGTTCAACAGAAAAAATATCAGAGTCATAATGATTATAAATCTAGTGACCATCGACCAGTTTCTTCTATATTCCAATTTCAGGTAGGTTTTGAACGACGTGCTTAAAGATTGTAAAGAGGTTTCTAAACATTTAATATGTAGGCCGATCAGAGACACTTATAGCATTGATTTTTATCAATCAGATTTCAGTTAAATGTCAGTGATTCTTGCAATGACTAAAACAAAGGGTTTTTGACGTCACTATTTCATAAGCTGCTAATAATATCAAAGGGCCTTTGCAATAGTGATGTCATGAAATGGTTAGTTTTAGAAGATTTGCACAAAGAAGTCCCAAAAAACATAAAAAATTTAAAAGACCTCTTTACAAAGAATACTTTGAATAACTTTACAACTAAGTAAATAGATGTCTATGTTGACCATGTTGTTTCATTAGAATTTTCCTCACTGTACACTCTATGGCTTGGCTTATCTATGAATAAGGATCAGGCTAGATATTCGGACAGAACACACTAGACTATTAATTATACTCAATGATATTATCAGATAATAGGAAGGACAATTCCAGACTTTTATTATTCTCGTTAATTTGAATCTGATACTGTTATTTGTGATTGTGATTGTATATTTTCAGGTATTCCCCCATCCACCAAGTCAGCCTATATCATTTCTACCTATCAATGAAATAAAACGAAAGACTGATATGACTATTAAATATACTGTAGATAGTACTTTCATGACTAATTATAATGATTGGATTGGACTATATCGGGTAAATAAATCACTGTTTTTATATACCCACTTCTTTCTGATTCCTTTTTGAACCAGTTCAATTACTGGTCTAGGTCAATGTCTACAGCTATTTTAGTTTCCTCTTGTCAGTGATACAGGTCAGTGGTCAACTGTGATACCTGTTGTTCATATTTGAGATCCATTGACAGTTGGAAATCGAAAAAGAGCAGCCTAATGCTGCTGCCATTGCCAAGTTTGATGATGTTTCCACTTGCTTTGCCAATTCTCATTAGCCCAATTATTAATACAGAAGTATCATGTTAAATCCCATTTATTTATGATGCAATATTGCAATTTAACCTCCATTTCCAAATCACCCAATGATAAGTGTCACATCAGGAACTGATGTCAATAAGATCTCCTCATTAATTTTTGCTGATAATGAAATCTATTTTTGTAGACTGATTTCCAATCATTCAATGATTATATAACCTATATCTGGGCCGTGGAGGGTGGACAGTTTCATGGTGAAAAGGGTGTTACATTGAAATTTTATAAAAGTTACATGACAATGAAACCAGGAAACTACTGTTTAATCTATCTGACTAGTAAATACAGTATTTGTGGAATCAGTGCCAAATTTAAGGTAATATTTTAAAATTACTAATATACTCACCATATACTGCAACTCTCATGTGTGCAACTTTTTGGAAACATCACACGCGTGTCACAATGTACTTAGTGCCATAGTTCCAAATTTGGAAAGGTTTGATATCTTATTGTATAATTAAAAGATACTTCATGTAATATCATACTCACAATGTCAAGCTATTATGAACTACTTCTAAAACCTTGACTTCAATAGCCACCTTTGTATCACGAAAGTTTGTAAATGCATCGATTTGCTAGCAAATACATCCAATCATAACCCCAATTATTTATAGCTTTTCTGTCCAGGTCTTTTTCTCAAACATTCAAGGTGCTTTTCTATCCTCTGATGCTTAGGGATTGTATCATCGAAATCATCATTCTACCAGTAATATAAAAGATTGTCACCACATAAATTTGCATTATGGATTTCAGATAACAGAATAAAGATAATAAAACCAATGGTGCCTTCAGATGATCTGTCCATGACAATGATTGGTTCATCTAATCTATTTTCTTCCAATCAAAAGTATTGTTGCTCAGTGATGCAGTTTGAATTCTGTGATGTTGGCAGGGGACATAACTCTATTAACTTCCTGTCTGTGATGGAGGCTTTCAGAGATCTCTATTTTTAAGATGTTGTTTTTGATATATTTTTAATGTTACTTTTCCTGTATATAAACTAATATTTGAGGAGGAGAAGAAAACCAACATTGCCTTTATGTTTAGACTTTGTGATGCATTACGGTAGCTTAAAGCTAATACAATTGTATCTCTTAGCATTTCTTTAATCAGACAATTATATCTATATATATTATATCTATCTATTTAATAAGCTATTATCTTTATATATCTTTGATATGTCTTATCATAACTCTAGTTTCAGAAAATCATATCTGTTTAATACGCACTTATCTCATGCTGCCAATACATCAGAGCGGCTATTCTTGAAAATGAAGGCTAACTTTCCAATATAGGACTCACTGAACTCAACAAGAAGTCAACATTGAGACTATATCAACAGAATGCAGACTTTCTAGTTAGAATCTAATGATAAGAGCTTATCTAATGCTGCTGACATGTCTTATGACAGCTAAAAGTGTATGACCATAATGAGCCAATTTTTAACATATTTTTATCTAAAAGATGTCTTGTTATTTTAGTTATTTTACTTTATTTCTTATAAAGGATAAACTTTACATAATTATTGTATTGAGATCTCTTTTATAACACCACAAATGTTATGTTAAACTTTATATTATGTTTATTATTTTATGTTTTTATCATTATCATTTATGTATTATGTATTTATGTAACTTAACAATGCTTTTATTGATATAGATAGAGTTGACACCTAGGACTGGGTAATATACTGATATAATGGTATAGGAATTTTAAAATGTTAGTAATATCGCCTAATTATCGTGATGGTAGTTATCATGATATATGTAAAATTTTTGACCAGATAAGATCATCTACATAATTCAAAAAACGTGATGTTTGAAACTGATATGATATTCAAGACTGGGGTGTCAACTGAGACCATTATCAAGATTGTTGTTCTGGCTGTATTTGCCAGCCATCTGAGTAGAAGACTGAAATATCTATAATACCTCTGATTTTGATATTTTGATTTAAGATTAGTTTATGTTTCACATACCGGTATGCAAATTTGATATAAAGGGAATGAATGTAGAATTTCTCGCTGTGACACAATGAAAACTCCCCTATCTTAACCTATGATATTTAATAAGAGATGTATTTAATCCTATTTATTTTATTAATATATATTATTTAATAGCTTTATTTCCAACCTGTGCCAATTCTTTCTTATCTTTAAAGTTGTCTTCCCAAAAAATTAGATTTCCTTGTGTATTGCAAACCTTTGAATGAATGAAACCATACGCCCAAAATGTGTGAGTGAAGATGATCTGTTACAAACACTAACCTATTTGAATTTCCCCGTTACAGTTTACCTGAAACCTCATAATCAAAGCTTGCATAATATACAATATGATATCTATGGGTGCACTGCTTTAATGTTATAATGCTGAAGAAATATTTGTTATGCTTTGTTATTATTAATATATTATTATGTTATTCCAAACCTTCCTAATTTCAATCTGTACCTTACTGACTCTTACCTCTGATAACTTATTTTGTCTAATGTAATATTTGAACAGTGGTGACTGGCAGCGAAGATTTTTAAAAAACCTTCTGTTAAAGCTATCACACAATTAGTTTGCTTAGGACTTTCATTACAGATAATCTACGCAGACTATTATTATTTGACTATGCAATCCCACCATATAGAAATTTACGTCCTGAAAAGTTTGTTAGCATTTTTATTTTTGCCAAAAATTATTTTAAAATAATTGGTAATATGATTTATTTCTGTTTAAGCTTATTTTTCTAATATTTTTATTATTTTGTTTTAAACCCCCAAAAATTGAACAATATTTAACAAGTAAACTACTTCAATATACCTCTAATAATTATCATGATATATTTTAAACTTACATTTTGTATTCATATGTTTTGTCTATTTCTGTATTTTTTTTTATTTGGAATAAATCTTGCCTCTAATGTATATCAATAAATTGAGTTTCATTTTCCGTCACCAGGTTTCAGATCAGATGGGACAATAAATCAAGGCCCTGTGTGCTACAGGATGTGAATGTTAAAGACCCCTAGACAGAATCCCTCATTGCACACTGCATGACATTGCTCTTTTAGCCAAATCAGATGCAAACAAGTAGGACTAAACTCCTTTCATTTCATTTCATTTGTCTAATATTTTGTTTGCTAAATGATTTACTATAGACATCATTGTGATAACGGTTAAGACATGTTCTGGCATTGAATGATTTACTATAAGCATCACATTTATATGGTTTTATCAATAGCTTCGAGTTTTATTACGCACGAACAATCGAGACTAAATATGAATCACCCAGTCTTTCACATGGTTGATTACAGGTGTGACAGGTAACGTGCCTAGTAATCTGGACTATGACTGGATAACCATTCAATAGGTACTATAATTAGAGTTGAAAACAAGTAGAACCGGTTTTATTACAAATACATTCAATAGAAATTCTCGCCTATTTTTCACGGTGGAATACCGAGGTGGACTGCCCCTTATTACCTACACATACCTGACCTTGTTTTACAGGTACCAAACCCTTACAGAGTAGGCCCGATCTTTATACCTGTCATATCAGGATAGACAGACAGTAGCAGTGGACTGAGGAAGGAATAACAGCAGGCATCATGAAGGTATATATATTTATTCATTCATTCCGTATTGTTTATTATGCTTTCAAGGTGTTTATATATTTATATGTTATATTATAATATGTTGGATCTTGTTCCACGAGGACGTTACAACAACAATAACCAAAATAACAAAGCTATTAAAATAATTAATAATTTTATAATTTTGTTTATGAATTACTTTTTCAAAATATTTTCCGGGACTCAAAAAATTTCGAAAACTGGCCCCGTGCATATATATTTTGAAATTCAATGGGGACAAATTATGTTACACACCCTAGCTACCAATCCCACGAAAAGGGTCGTAAACGGTACCAATTAGCCGACAGGGGCGTAGTAAACGGAACAAAGTTCAGGAATAATGCCTTGATTCATGTCTAGAATTTGAGGGCATCGTTTATTAAAATATGTTTATGTTTGTAGGGGTTGGGCCATGCCCTTTACCCAAACATCTTATTGTAGCTATTATTAACTAACTGTGCATTCTCTGTGAAACCTGTTTCTTACGCGTAGGCTAATATTATAGTCCACATCGAACATTTGTTATCTTTTGAAAGGTAAATTAAAATGATAAAATCACAGTAAATCAATACCTATGGATAGAAGTTAATATTCAAACAATATTTGATTATACTGTTAATGTCTTTATACTTCCACGCCCCAAAGGTTCGCTTATATTGTAAATAAACAATGAATAGTGATGCACCCATTCAATTTATTCTGGACACGAATTATGAGGAAATTAACGTTGTCTTTTGCAATAAGTAGACAAAATCAACCTTATAGTACAGTACAGTGGTTCCCAAAATTTTTCAGCCTTCACAACCCTGGAGTAATCATTTGAGCCTCTCACACTCCCAAAACAATGGACATTCAAAACGTTGTAAATTTTATAATTGTTATTCAAACTAATCATAATAATTGATATATAATCATACAGCCGCAATAAGATGCTCAGTGGGAAGGCAGTTGCTGTTTCTTTGAAACCATATAATAACCCCCACCCCACAAACAATTCTCCTACAACAGTTGTCTACATCCCCGACACCCCAGTCACACACCCCCAGGGGGTGAAAGCATCCCAGGTTTTGGAACCAGGGTTATAGGAAGAATGATAAATATCAGAATTTTCCTTTCTTCCATAAATTGTCGGACATTTCAATAAAGAACATTTTTATTCTATACGGATCGTAGTATCCTTGATGATTAGATGTAGATTTTATGAGGTCACTAAATGCTATTAAGTGTTTGAAAACGTCATCATCTCATATCATTATATAGTAATTGTAATTTCCATGGAATACAGTTGTATACTCGTACTTTTTAACAGAGTCCAAAGTGTTAAAAACATTAGGGTTTATCACCTGCAGACCTAAAACAAAAATTATACTATCATATCACATTAATTGGAGGAAATTGTTTATGAATATGACAATGATCGAGTGATAGGTCATCTATTGTCGCATTGGTACTTTAATAAATACACCTCTTGTTTCTACCCTCTATATCATAACCGTCTTCTCAATAAACTAATAGGCGGAGGCCATTCTGGCAAACAAAACTGCCATTGTAACCATACAAGGTTTATTTTCTTGAAATGATGATTTCGTATCTGGTGTAAGCTCATCTAGACTGTGGTGGCCCCAGCCTCCCGAAAATGGGGGTACAAAAAGGGGGCAGAATGGGGGGTGTCAATTTGAAGCGGCAACTCTGAGCCTCCAAGAGGGTTCTTCTTATCCAGGAAAATGTGAGAAAAATTGAATTGACGGTGAATTCTGGCATATATATTCGGGCCAAAACGACTAATAAATGATATTTGATTTGAATTCATTAGAAATGAAGTGAGGATACAAACCATTTCTCTTAGGGGCACAAATAACCCCCTCCCCCTGTACCCCTCCCAACAGAAATCAACTATTTTAAGAAATTAACTTGAATCACACTTTCATTGTTCTGCAAATTTTACAATCAAACCTTAAACAAAAGCGGGTGATGAACAATTTAAGATATTTGAACAAGAAAATTAGTATTCAATGATAGAATTTAAACTTAGAATAATACTGTATAAACTGATCAAACTGAATAGACAAAAACATCCTATATAAATATGACGAGAAACGTTACTTGTCGTATTGTCCTTATGAACGATCAGACGATGCATGGGTCGCAAATTAGTTATATACACGATAATGTAATGACGACTGACAGGAATTTGTCCAAACGTTTTGAGAAATTATGTGCTACATTTAAAAAATGTCTATGGCTTATTCTTTCTGTGGTTAGATAGTCTTTTTCAAACTTCTTTGAACATTACTAACAGGTATATAACTTTATTTCAGATGCACATTTCGTTATTGATATTACTAGCTACCTTGAGTGGGTACCGGGCAGTGGAGTTGGTCTGTCCAGCAACACAAAATAGCTGTCCATATGAAAACGTAGCCGTACTTAAAACAACTAAAACTACACAAGATAACCACTATTATATTGGAGGATTGTTTGGTGTTCATGAAACCGGTGATACAGCTTATGAATGCAGCACCACTATCAGAAACAGAGGTAAATAAAATTCCAAAGAGTATTGAATTCATGGATTGAAACCACTCTATGATAGTTATAGCACTAGGGTTACCCAAAATGGGAACTAGCGGAATTGGGATCTATATATACATGTATATATTAATACCTATAAGATTCCAATGAGAGGTCCAACGAAAGTAGAATGTATTTGAAGTAAATGAATAACACCGTTAAAGATAGTTAATATTTACTGCCAACATGTTTCAATTCCATATTTATAAGGCACAGTGAAATATGTTTGAATAACCTGCACCTCCTAACCTGTCGCCTTGTTTGAATACCAGCCTTCCAGAAACTCAATGAAAGCTTTACAGTGGCTATTCAATTAAGTTTTCGGCAAAGTCATTCTTATTATACAAAAAGGCACCTCTAAACTTTACCAGTAAAGCTTCTAGTTACCACAAAAGATGGCCCTAGTATTAACGGTATCCCAAGGCAAGATCGAAGTAGTACATGTATCCCATAGAGGTACTGATTTTGCCCCAAATTGGAAACCTCGGCAATATAGTAAACTTTATCTAATCATATTGTAAAATCATCTTTTTGTAGGTTTCGTCAACATGATGGCGTTCTTCTGGGCCATCAATCACTACAAGAGCATTGCTGGCTCTGAAGTAGATATTGGTGGAGTAGCTTTCGATAACTGTGGTCGACATGAACAAGCAATCGAAAACGTCCTCAGTTTCGCTCAATGTAAACTGCGCCCTGATGGTGTCGAAAGACGACAACTACTGGCGTATGTTGGTCCAGATCGTAGCAGTGAGGCTATGGCTTTAGGACGCACCATGACCGACTTAAATATAACTTACATAAGTCACTCTGCTACGTCTCCTGATTTGAGAGATTCCAAAAGAATTCCATATTTCCTTAGAACAGTTCCATCGGATGCCAACGATGCTCTCATCATGGCACAAATGGTAACAAGAATCGGTACAAAGTATGTCATGATAGTCTATATGGATGATGCTTATGGTAGAGCAGGAAGAGAGCAATTTACAGCTGAGATTCAAAGGGAAGATAAATGTGTGGTGCAAGCGGTCAGATTACCGATTAACCCTACCCCTGCCGAGATACAGGAAGTCACCAACATGCTGATTGCCAAGCAAGTTGTGAAATACGTAGCTCTCTATACAGATGCTGCACATGCCAGAGTGTAAGTATTTTGTTGCGCTATTTTTATAAATAGTTGGCCACTTTATTTTTATGGCGAACTGACGGAACAATAAAACTTAATCCCGTAAACGCTCCCTCGTACGCTACAGCTGCCAAACTGACCAAACTTGGTGCACCTACATGGCGTCGTCTTCTTTTCATTAGTTTAGAAGTGACAGAGAAAATGGAAGTAAAAGGTTTATTATATCATTTCAGTGTGTTAGAAGCTGTAAACTCCGAGAACAGCATCGCCAACAAGTTTATCTTCTTGGGAACATCATCTTGGGGTAGAAACACCGCCGTTATTAAAGATCTGCCTTACGAAGTTTACAACAATAGTATCGTCATTGCAACCAACGTTGCTGGCTCATTCCTTAGTACATATGGCTCGTTTAGAAATTATTGGATAAATCTTAACCCCAACACGACTATGCCAAATATGGTCAACCCATGGTTCAATCAATACTGGGAACAGAAGTTTCAATGTAGTTTACTGCCAACCGCCCCGAATAAATGCGATGTAGCCAACCAAAAATTGACAGAAGAAGATCTTAATGGTTATGTACCATATACCATTATGGCTGTGGGTGCTATTGTAGATGGTGTCAAACGTGCTGCCAGGGAGTCGTGTACTCAAAGGTTTGTTCTTGACTTTTTGTGACTTTCAAATATTAATTGTATTCATAAATTTTTTTTCTTGAAGGGAATCGAACCCATATCGCGACACATCAGATTGAGCAGCTTTATAAATTGGTTGTCTAACCGTGGAATCACTTCCAGTCTACAAATCCTAAACAAATTTATGGGTCCCATAGCACAACAGATGGCTTTTAAGAAGCTCTTTATCTCTTCCAGATATGAGCTATGCAGTAATCTGATGAACAATGATAATCGTGGAACTCAGGTATATGAGGCTATCAAACAGTTTAAAGACGGAGATTCCAATGTTTTCAACACCGCTGTAGATGCTGATGATAAATACGTTTCTGCGGACGTCACTGAGAAGTTCTCTCAGTATAATGTGTACGCTATAAGTAATGGTAAATACGAAGAGGTGAGTAAGTTATATGGTCGACATCACAGAAAATAAATTTGTCTCTGTAAGTGGTGAGTGAAGCGACTATGAAGTCTATAAAATTTGACACTGATTAATTAATCTTTTAATTAAATGATATAACACATTTTATTAAAGGGAAAGACCAACCATACTTTAATCTCAGAAACTGGAATTTTTTAGCTGAGCTAATCAGTAATAGTGTTCACAGCTCACCGTCAAAATATGAGCATTCAAATCCACGTGTACATTTCTAGTACTTCTGAAGGCTATTACATATATTCAAGACTGAAATCAACCCCTCATAATGGCACATCTGCCCCTTTAAGGCGAATACAGATTTTCATATAAGTGAATTTGGTCAATGGAATGTATTAAACGATGCAAGTGGAAGGATTTGTAGATGTATTTTTCAAGGGAAGAAAGATCGACAAAAGGATTGATAAAATGACTCTACAATTCACCCTGAAATCAAATTCTATTTACAATAGCATTCGCCAGGACAAACTCCACCAAGAGGGCTTGTTCAATTATAATTCTGACTATTCCAGATATCAAGATTAGCTGAAGAGCCAGTTGAATGTGTATTGATTAAACTGTCCGGTATTCTCAATTTCAGGTCGGCAAGTATGTGAACAGTACTGGCCTGTCTCAAACAAGAATTTTGGTCAGGAATTATTATCCAGGAGGCCGATGCCCAGATACGCCATGTTTGGTCTGCAACGAGGCACCGTCTACTCAGGCACTAACATCTACCACTCCTGCCTCGTCGGCTCCTGAAAGTACTACTAGAGACCCATTGGAAGGTGGCAAACAGGCCATGGTGTATTATCCAACTATGCAGGAGATAACTGGGGCATACGCTTCCCAGAACAGAACAATGGGAGAGTACATGACCCGATTTGAAATCGGACAAAAATGGATTATCGCTCTTGGTGTTTTGGCCGGTCTTGGTATTTTTGCCGTCTTTGTTTTTGAAATTTATGTCATGTATAAGTTACTAGGTACTCACAACAGTCACAAATGGAGAACAGTCTGGTTGGGTCAACTTCTGCTTTTCGGTATTTTCCTCAGTTATTTGACACTATTTGCCTACATCCCAATCCCAACCAAAGCTACTTGTGGTATCACCAGATTCGGAGTCGGTGTGTCTTACGCCATCATGTTTTCTGTACTGCTGGTGAAGCTTATGGTTATTCTGACATCTAAGGCATCAGAGTCTCTTCTACCAGGAGATATTGAGTCACCCAACTACCTCAAGGGTATTTACCAGTTCCTCATGTTTATGTTTGCTGTCGGAGTCCAGGTAGTCATCGCTATCCAGTGGTTAATAACTGTACCACCAGAGGCTATTAAGGTTATGGATAACCGAGGAGAACAATATTGGATCTGTAATCATTATACATGGACTGCTGGTTCAGGTAATTTATATTTTTCACTATCTTTTCATTTGAGCTCATGTTAACAATTCAGTTACTTAAACTATTGCATGCAGCATATTTGAAAATACACAGAATAACAATAGCCTAAGGGCTATTTGATTTTGGAAAACGGTTTTATTTCGTCGATGACATTTTCACGCTCATTGCACAAACTAACTTATTCACCAAGACATTGTCTGATGGTTTAGTTATTTACAAAGCGATATTGCTATGCTGAAATAAATTGTTTCATGTGTGGTAGTATAGCAGCTATATATGAAGAGAAATAGGGAAATTCCTTAACTCCACATTGAGGGTTGCGGCGTTGTACCCTTATCTCATCTTGAGCAAAGTAATGTGTATCTGCTTGCGGACATGATATAACCTACGTTAATTTGTTTCAGGTTGGAAAGATATGGGTGGGTTCGTAAGAACAGAGTTTGAGAACCACGTCTTGTCTCTGATCTACATCATGGTATTAATTCTGATTACCACCATATTGGCCCTGAAATCACATGGTATCATCACCAACAATAGAGAAAGTATATTCATTGGTATATCAGCTGGTTTCTCCATTCCCATCTGGTTGGCCTGGACCTTAGTTGGAGGTTTAAATAGAGATCATGGTTATGCTCAAGAGTTTGGTGATTGTTGTATAGCGCTTGGTCTCTTTTTAACAGGTGCGTGTTTTGTTTTTATTTGGGAGATGTTGTGGCTTACTAAGGTTGGACCATTGCAGATTGCATGACGTTTCCTATTTCCTCAGATGCGAAAAAGTAGGACGTAAAAGTCCATTCAATTCATTTCATTTAGTAATAATAGTAAGCTTGAATTTGTTTGCTAACAATGGAGTATGTTGGTGTGTGTACCGCTTACCATAAATATAGCCAAATCTTCCCAAATAGCAATTAGATCTTCCCTCCATTGTTCCCAAATGGCCTACTACAGAGTGATAAGAAATATAGATATGGGGCGTGGGGGCAAAACCTGCAAAGCCCATTTTCTGACCTCGTAGAAACACCACTGTTTGCTTTACCTAAACCGTACAAATATACATCATTGCTCCATTTTACTTTGTATTTCTTAATATTAAAACCAGTCTTTATTTTCTTTCTCCTTAGCAACCTTGGTTCTATTTGCTATGTTTTTACCAAAAGTCCGACAGTTGGTGAATATGGGCGTAGAAGGAATATATTTTGAGGATGATAGAGATACAGTTTATAACGAGTCAGTAATATTGGCCCCACCAAGTTATAAATCCCGACCTGGTTCGGTTATATACGTCAATAATCCAGGATTATACTCTGATCCAATTCATCTCAATGGAGATCCAGGTATGTCATCCTTGATATTTCCTTTAGGGACTGAAGAATCTATGCCGTAATGGGGAGGGCACGGTGACAAAAACGCCTTAGTATTCCCTCCAAGCAAGCAACAATCAAAATATTCATCTTTTAGTAAATAGAGGATTCCATGTCATATGATGATATGCGAAGCATCTTTAATGCCCCGATGTTAGGTGACCACTCCAACCAGTTAATCTGAATACTAATAACACCCTCCACAATCATATTCCTTTCAGGTCACAATCATCTGAAATACAGCACTGCTGGTAGTGTGTACAGCTCCCCACCTGGTATGTACCGTAAAGCAGATTCCACTATCGGTCCTAGTAGTAAAGTCTTACGAGTAACCGGAGATTTGACAGGAAAACACCCTGCTGAACGAAAACGACCTCAGTCAGATTTTGGATATGGTGGACGGTCTGTTAAAGGAACACTCGGTCGTAAGTAAAAGTTTCAATATTTTTTAACTTCAAGAGGTAGTCCAATAGGTACTTGTTGCACTCGATTAAAACGGCGCGGTGATACCCTGCCAACACTTTATTAAGCTCCATTTCTTTTTTATTCATGCACCTGTGCTGTATATTTTCGTACTTTTGTGTCCTATATTATGTGATTTAAGCTAATAATTCAGTTCATTTTTAAGATAATCCTATGGATGATAAATATCTTTCCGATACCTCATTTAAGTAGTCTGTGGGGTAAATTCAACTAATCATAGTTTTGAGAAATTTATCAAATCGGGTATTACATTCGCTTCACTGAAGCTGGATTGTTTTGGACAGAAATATGTCGTCTTATTTTGTTTTACATCTCCATGGAACGATCGTGTATATAGTGTCATTGTGGTGGACTTACTGAAAGTTTGATATCTTTTTTCAGGAAGCCGATCACATCAAAATATAGGAGCTCTTTAATTAAAAAATAGAAGAATTGGTGTAAATAAAAGGTGAATCTTTGAACATTTTAACAGAAGAAAACTACTCAAATATTTTTTGAAGGGGGTGGGGTATGAACCCGATATTCGCGAAGATATTTTTGAATAGCCTTAGAATAATGAATAATTAATGTTTCATTGATACAAGCAGATCAAGACTTGCGTTTTTGTATTTTATTGCATTCCATCTTTGGAATGCCTAAAAAGGAAAATGTCACATTTTTTAAAGAACGCTGCATTAATTTAACCG